AATACCCTCTATATTAGACTAATACATCCTATTTTCCTAACCCACCATCTATCAAGCCAGTTAGCCATTTGTTAGTGAGTCAGGCAATGCCCGACACTCACAGACATATGTGATAATGTCTAGAACTCAAAGATGAATTAGTATCTGTCACCCTGGCCAGTTTGGCTCAGCAGTTAAGAGAGTTAGCCTGCGGTCCAAAGAGACCTGGGTTCTGTTCCCATTAAGGGCACGTACCTCAGTTGTAGTTTGTCCCCCAGCCCTGGTTGGGTCGTGTGGGTGGCAAACACTCGATGTGTCCCTTTCAGGTCGATGTCTCTCTCTCTCTCCCTCCCACTCTATCTGAACAAAATATCAAAAAATGTCCTCGGGTGAGGATAAAAAAAAAATTAGTGTCTGTCCTTCAAGAGTTCAAACCATACAATCAAGTAATTAGAATATAATAAAACATGCCATATAATATAGAATGTACAGAGTGCTGTATCATGTCCTAAACGTATCTCCCTAATATTTTTTTTCTTAATACAGTTTTGTCTTAGACTCCCTCTTTTACATATCACACCAAATCCATAAGTAGCTAATGAGTATTTTTATTTTATTGTTTTAATTTTTCTTTTTTTAAAATGTTTTTGTTGATTGTTTTAGTGAGAGGGAAGGGAGAGAGAGATAGAAACATTGATGATAAAATTTAATACCTTTTCATGATAAAAACTCAAAACAGGCTTGGAATGTAAGAGCATGTGTATGTAAAAACCATGTAATAATCTTATGCAATATTGAAATATTTAAAATATTTCCATTAAGTACAAGACAAGAATACTTGCTATCATCACTTGCATTCAGCATAGCAGAGGTCCTAACTAGTGCAGAAAACAAAATAAAACATAAAAGAATTGAAAAAGAAGACAAAAAATACTCTTGGTTCATAGAAACCCCAAGGAAATCAATAGATAAATTATAAGAATGAGAGAATTCTAAAAAAGTCACAGATACAAATTTATATGTACATATATATGTATGTATATGTATATACGTATATATATAAAAATACAATTGACATTGACATATATATGTCAATTATATTTATATTCCCAAGCACAGTTATCAAATGTAATTTTAAAAATTATACAATAGCATCAACACTATAAAGTACTTGGGAATAAATCTAATAAAAGATATATAAGACTTTTGGACAAAGTATATAATTATATTAAAATACATTGAAAAACACCTAATAAAATATCATGGATAAGAAGATTCAAAGTTATAAAGATGTCTACTCCTCCTAAATTGATCTATAAATTGAATATGATCCCAATAAAATCCCAGAGGAGTTTTTCATGAAAATTTGCAAGCTAATTCTAAAATATAAATGGACCACTTGTTAGGAAAGACATGAAAACAACTTGTCTAAGCAGATACTGACTTTTTAAAATCTTTATTGTTGAGAGTATTACAGATGTCTCCCTTTTTCCCCCCATTGTCCCCCTCAAAACGGTAAGACAATGTGGTACTGGTATAGAAATAAACAGACCACAATATATGGGAATATATAACTCAGAAACAGCCTTACATATATATATGGAAAGTTGGTTTAAGACACATTGGGCTTTAAAGATCAATGGTTAAAGAATGGATTCTTTAATAAAAGGTGATGGGTCAATTAATTATTCATTAAGAGAAAATATATATTTACCTATACCACAACATAAATGTTAGGACTTACACAACAGTATCATTCTTAACAGCCATGTTGTAAGTTTCCCCACCACAGGAGAACAAAGACCAGGAAGACTGGCAGTACACCAGGAATCAAACCATATAAAAAACTAAAACTGCCAAAGAAGCATCCAATCGCATATGCGCATTCCTGTAGACCCAATCCCACGGCCCAAACCCACCAACCAATACCCCAAAACCCACTGACTGACAAAAGCTTCCTGCCAGTGGACACATATAAGGATGAAACTCCAGCTCCTACGGGCTGCCATCATTGACCCAATACCTATAGCTGGTGATGTATAGCCCTTACTTTTGCGTATCCCCATGCCCCATCCCACACCCCCTTTTTCTTTAAATAAATTCAATGTTTTCTTTATTCACCATCTGGGATTGCTATTTAGCATGCCCGCACACCAATGTACCACACTACTGAGTTTAACTTTTCAATAAAGAAAAGTCATAATGAAAGAATAAAACAAAATAATAAAAATTCATAAAACAAAAGAAGTGTCTTTATAACTTCAGAATAGAGAAGGACTTCTTAAAACATAAACAGCATTGCCCTGGTTTGGCTCAGCAGTTAGAGCGTCGGCCCGTGGACCAGAGAGGCCTGGGTTCGGTTCCTGCTAAGGGCACGTGCCTCGGTTTGTCCCCGGCCCCAGTTGGGGTCATGTGGATGGCAGCCACTCAATGTGTCTCTCTCACACTGATGATTCTCAATCTCTCTTTTTCCCTCCCACTCTAAAGATAAATGGGTGAAGATTAAAAAAAAAAAAACATAAACAGCATTAAACATAAAAGAAAAAATTGCGAATTTGGTAACACTGAAATTAAGAACTCTGCTCAAAAATATTGAGGAACAAAATAGATCCAGACACATGGAAGTAGGGGACAGACTGACAAACCTCAAAGGTGTGAGGAGGGAGCCAGAAGAGATAAACCAAAGAACTTACATGTATTCATATATAACCAGTGGTCACAGCTAACCGGGTGGTAAAGGCAGGGGAGGACAGGAGCAGGGAGGAGGGTGTCACTGGGGGTAAAAAGGAGGTAATACTTACAACAATAAAGATAAGAGAAAAAAAAGAAATGTAAAACTCTGTTCAACAAAAGACTAAATTCAGAGAGTAATAAGACAAGCTAAAAACTGTTAGATGTTTGCAGCACGTAAAATGACAAAAGAGTAGTACAGGGAATACATAAATAAGTCCTACCAGTCTATCTGAATTCCAATACAGAGTGGGCAAAGACACAGAGTCATTTTTACCATGAGAAAATATTAGTGGGCTGTACATATACAAAAAGATGCTTAAGCCCATTAACAGCGAGATTAATGCATATTAAGGTCACAGGAGGTATCATTCTAACTCCTATATTTGCAACCCCTTAAAAGTAAGCACCAACATTAGATGAGGATGAGGAGCATTGGGAAGACTCATCCATAGATAATGAAGACATAAATTGGTACAACCACTTTGGAAATGTTTGGTATTTCTCGAGAAATTGAACATGTGTATACTCTATAACCCTGCAATCCCACACTTGTACCAATATTCTGAAACAATGGTTCTCACATATTAGTGAGCATCAGAATCACTGGGAGGGTTTGTTAAACACAGATTGCTGGACTCTTCCTCAGAGAGTTTCTAATTCAGAGATTGGGGCCTACAAATTTGCATTTTTAAGAAGTTCCACATAGTGCTGATGCTCTGAGAACCACTACTATAAAAAGAACGCTTGTACTTACACACCAGGATATGCACAGAATATTGATAATGTATTGCATTGATAGGAAAAATGAAAAACAAACCCCAAATACCCTTCAACAGTAGGATGAATACTGGCATAATCATACAATGAGATATTAGAGTTATGAAAACAACTGAGGTCATGAAGGGGCACACAGGACTTCTAAGATACTAGTAATGTTCTAGTTTTTAAGCCAGGTGAACATTTTTGCAGGTATTCTAAAAAAACTGTAGCTACATATTTTGCATCCTCGTTTGTTCATGTATTTCATTATAAAATCTTGTAAGTTGTGCTTCTACCACCTACTAGCCACTTTTCTATTGTCTGGCCCAACACAGAGTATGTCAAATCATCTCAGGACTTGAGTAAAGGGGAAGGTATTGGTTCTCATCTTTCTACTGAGTCTAGTGGTAAACATCACCCCCACCGGTTGTTTTCAACCACTTATCAAGACGTGATACATCCCCTGAAATTCCTCATCACTCTTCATGACTGCAGTCCTCAAAATCAACAACCAGAACTGAATACAAGGCTCCACCTGTGGTCTGACAGACAGTTCACTGAAAACTCTCTCCGGCTACTAGATTCACAGTGCAGTCTAAAAAGAGTTTTCGCAATGACAGTATACTGATTATTCATACTGACTTTATCTTACCTACTAAAACTCCTAGTACTTTTTCAAACATGATGTTAAAGATATGCCTCATAAATATGCCTCTTTTGGCTTTATGGACCAAAAGAGTGGACTTCAAAAATGTATCCTAGATTCAGCCCTTGTACAACTTCTTTAGGTAGCAAAGTGCTTATTCTATCATCCATTATGAGAAGTCCTCTGCATTTTACATTCTTTATAAATTGAATGAGTCATCAGTGATATCCAAGTCACTAATCAAGAGTTGAACAGGAATAAAATTTTAAAAAATTTTTTAAGAGTTGAACAGGACTGCCCTGGCCGGTTTGGCTCAGTGGTTAGAGCGTCGGCCTGCGGACCAGAGAGTCCCGAGTTTGGTTTCCGCTAGGGGCACATACCAAAAACAAAAGAGTTGAACAGGACTGGACCAAGGACAAAGACCTGAGCCATGTCACTAGAAGTTTTTCTACCAAGTTCATCTGTATCCAATAATGTACCATTTAGTTGGCTATAATCCTTCCTCACATTTTCACATTTTCCACAAGGATATTAAGAGAAACTGTTATAAAATGTATCACTAGCATCTTAAAAAAACTGAATACCTAGTCTTTCAGTCTAGTGCTACTATTAGAAGAGTCATCTTGGACCATGACGATGATGACCACCGCTTGGGATGACAGAATGGCGGGAATGGAAGGAAGCTAGTTCCCAGCGACTTCATGGAGCTGCCACTCCTGCTCTGGGCTGCCTACTGCCAGAGCTCTTTTAACTGGAAGAGAAATGAGCTATTCTGTATAAAGGGGAAAAGGGTGGTGGGGTATTACTCTAATGGATGAAGTGATCCTAAAAACCAAGAATCCAAGCCTGGAGAGAAAGAAGCAGGCCAAACAACACAGTATTATTTTTTTTCCAAACAAATTTAATTCTGTTCCAGCCCCAAAGAAGGGGATAAACCTAAATTTTAAAAATAAAAATAAAATAAAAATTGCTCAAAATCCAAGCCATTATAAATTTAAGCCCCCTCCCTTAGCAATAAATACTGAAATAATATATACACACGAGGCTCAGGAAGGAGGCAAGAACAGGAACCTTGGGGACTCTGTCCCATGGCAAGATCCCAGCACTTCTACCAATTCCATGCCCTTTGCCTAAAACACAGCAGAGCAATGAAAGAGGCAGGAGAGATATACCAGGGGAATGTGTGGCCCCAGAAAGAGCTAGAACATGGTAACAGGAGAGAAAGAAAAGACACACAGCGTCTTACAGGGCAGAGGAAAAACAGGCCGTCATCTAAAACATCCCCCCATTCCAGCTGAGTCACGGGGGCTGGTCCAGCTGACGAGTGCCCTTGAGCGGTCTCTGTGCCTCTACTCCCTCTTTAGCAGGCAGGGTAAGTGAGCTCATTCACACTGTGGCCGTGATGCCACTGTAGCAGCAGCCTGGCTACTGGAGCCCTGCGGCTTCCCATTCACCACGAGCAGGAGGGGTGTCTCCACACGAACACTGGAAAAGGAATAGTCCTAGAAAAGATAAAACACAGAGGTTTATTACAGATCCTAAGATGGAACAAACCCAAACATGGCTGATATACCACCTGAGACTGTCTCCTCCTTTCTCCTCTCCAGTACATACACCCCTTACCTTCATCCCATTCAACAAAGCCGAGCTAACGAAGAGGGTTTAATGTTCCCAAAGTTTTCAATCTCCAGAAGGAAAATCTGGGGCAGGGAGGGTGCCAGTGGTGTCACTAAAAGAGTGAGACAAGGATGCAAAAATGGCAGCGGAGTGAATGGAAGCTACAGACGATCTCCTGGGACCAAAAAGGAATTACAACTAAAATAAAGACAAATCGTGGGAAAAAGCAACAGAAAAGAAGTGGGTCAGGACCATATAACCAGGGACACTGGTAGGATCTGCGGAGGCACGAGAGGGTGGCGGGCTGGGAGCCCACAGACAGCAGCAGTCTTAGCTATGAGCAGTGCCCTCAGGGATAAAAGACCAAGGCTGCTCCACAGCGCAGAAGGCCGCAACAGAGTACTGGATTGGCTACAGCCACTCACTTGGGGATCCAGCACAGGGAGGGCAGACTAGACTGGAACTATGTGGGGACACCCGAGACTGGAGGGCGCTCAGAGTCTTTGCTGACTCACAGCCACAAAGGACGGTAACCAGCTTGCTCCTTCCCACAGCTGTGGGGAAGAGCAGCAGCCCCTCCCTCAAAGATTTAGGCTCCTCTAGGTGAGGCAAAGAAATGCAAATTGAGACTCATTAACAACCAGCATCTCTCCCACCGGCTTGAAATCCTCTTCCACAGAACACCAGGGCTACATTCCAAAGCCTTGAGTAACTGAGACTAATAGCCTCCAGGAAAAAAGCTAGAGGATAACTGAACCTTTCCTGGGCTTGCAAATCTACCCAGGAAAGTAAGACTTGACAGTGGTGTTTAACGTGGGTCCTCCCATGCTCATTTAAACCCAGTAGAGTAAGTAGAACACCAACACCAACAGGGAAAATTTGGCAGGCTCCAAAACCCACTGAGATAGCCAAAATAGTAAACCAAAGAAACAAATCCCAAATGAAAGAACAAGAGAACTCTATCAAAGATGAGATGAATAAAATGCAGTTAAGCAAATTATCAGAGGTAGAGTTCAGAGCCATGATCTTGAGGAAGCTCAATAGCATGAGTAAAGATATAGAAACACTGAAAACCAACCAAGTGGAAATAAAGAATGACATAGCAGAAATAAAGAAGACATTGGAAGGACTAACCAGCAGAGTAGAGGAAGCTGAGGACCAGATCAGTACATTAGAAAACAGGGTAGAAAAAAATCAACCCATCTGAAAAACAAAAGGAAAAAAACAATTAAAAAGCAGGAAGATAGCTTAAGAGAACTGTGGGACAACTGGAAATGTAATAATATTTGCATCATAAGAGTCCCAGAAGAAGAAAATGAGCAATGGTTAGGGAATATATTTGAAGAAATCATGACAGAAAACTTCCCTAATTTACTGATGGAAGAACGCATTCAAGTTCAAGAAGCACAGAGAACCCCAAGTAAGAAGAACCCAAACAGGCCGACACCAAGACACATAATTAAATGCAAAAAATTAAAGACAGAGACAGAATACTAAAGGCAGCAAGAGATAAGCAGGTTATCATCTGACTTCTCAACAGAAACACTACAGGCCAGAAGGGAACGGCACAAAGTAATCAAGGTTATGAAAAACAAGGATCTGAATTCAAGACTACTCTATCCAGCAAGGCTATCATTCAAAATAGAAGGTCAAATAAGGAGCTTCCCAGACAAAAAAAAAGGCTAAGGGAATATATTAGCATCAAACCAGCACTGTAAGAAATGATAAAAGGACTGCTGTAATTAGTAGAAGAAATAGGAAGAAAAATATAACCACACTAAAGAAAAATGGCAATAAATAAGTACATATCAATAATCACCTTAAATGTAAATGGTTTGAATGCTATGATAAAAAGACACAGAGTAGCTGACTGGATAAGAAAGCATGACTCACATATATGTTGTTCACAAGAGACCCACCTCACAACAAAAGACTCACATAGGTTGAAAGTAAAGGGATGGAAAAAAATCATCCAAGCAAACAAAAAGGAAAAAAGAGCTGGGGTAGCAGTACTCATATATGATAAAGTAGATTTCAAAATAAAGGCCATAACTAGCGACAAAGAAGGCCACCACATAATATTAAAAGCATTTATCCAACAAGAAGATATAATCTTGATAAACATATATGCACCCAATACAAGAGCACCAAAATATATTAAAAATCTTCTGGAGGACTTCAAAGGAGAAACTGACAGCAATATAATCATAGCAAGGGACTTCAACACCCCACTGTCATCACTGGATAGATCATCTAGACAAAAAATTAACAAAGAAACACAGACTCTAAATAAAGCACTAGATCAAATGGATTTAAAAGATGTCTACAGAGAATTATACCCAAAAACTGCAGAATTCACATTCTTCTCAAGTGCACATAAGACATTCTCAAAGATAGACCACATGCTAGGGCACAAATTAAGTCTATACAAGTTCAAGACTGAAATCATATCAAGCATCTTCTCAGATCACAAAGGCATGAAACTAGAAATCAATTGCAACAAGAACATCAAAGACATTTGAAAACATGGAAGCTAAATAGCATGTCATTGAATAATGAATGGGTTACCATGGAGATCAAGGAAGAAATTAGAAACTTCCCAGAAACCAATGAAAATGAACACACAACAACACAAAATCTATGGGATTCAGCGAAAGCAGTTCTCAGAGGGAAGTTCATAGCACTACAGGCCTACCTCAAGAAACAAAAATTTCTAATTGACTACCTAACCTCACAACTTAAAGAATTAGAAAGCAAACAAAAAGAAAGCCCCAGAGCAAGTAGAAGGATGGAAATAGTAAAGATAAGAGCAGAAATAAATTACATGGAGACCAAAAAACAATTCAAAGGATCAATAAAACAAAGAGCGGGTTTTTCGAAAAGATAAACGAGATTGATGGACCCTTAGCTAGACTCAAAGAGAGAGAACCCAAATACACAAAATCAGAAATGAAAGAGGAGAAATAATAATTGACACCACAGAAATACAAAGGATTGTTAACAAATATTATGAACAATTATACGGCAACAAATTTGACAATCTAAGAAAAATGGACAGATTTCTAGACACATAGTCTCCAAAAACTGAACCGGGAAGAGATAAAAAACTTGAACAGACCAATAATAACAAAGAAAATTGAAGATGTAATCAAGACTCTCCCAGCAAACAAAAGCCCAGGCCCGATGGCTTCATGGGAGAGTTTTACCAAGCATTCAAAGAAGAACTAATACCCATTCTCCTCAAACTATTTCAAAAAATTCAAGAAGAAAAATCCAAACTCGTTTTATGAGGCCAACATAATTCTAATTCCAAAACCAGAAAAAGACACTACAAAGAAAAAACACTACAGGCCAATATCCCTAATAAACATAAATGCCAAAATCTTGAACAAAATACTAGCATATCGGATCCAGTAATACATCAAAAAAATTATTCACCATGATCAAGTGGGATTCATCCCAGGGATGCAAGGCTGGTACAATATTCGCAAATCAATAAATGTGATACACCACATAAACAAAATAAATGATAAAAACCATATGATCATACCAATAGACGCTGAAAAAGTATTCGACAAAACCCAGCACTCGTTTCTGATAAAAACACTCAGCAATGTGGGAATAGAGGGATCATATCTTGACATAATAAAGGCCATATATAAAACACCTACAGCCAACATCATACTCAATGCACAAAAACGAAAAGCATTTCCCTTAAGAACAGGAACAAGACAAGGATGCCCACTTCCACCACTCTTATTTAACATAGAACTGGAAGTCTTAGCCACAGCAATCAGACATGAAGAAAAAATAAAAGGAATCCACATTGGAAAGGAGAAACTGAAACAGTCATTATTTGCAGATGACATAATATTATACATAGAAAACCCTAAAGACTTCATCAAAAATCTGCTAGATTTAATAAATGTATTTGGCAAAGTAGCCGGATACAAAATTAATGACAAGAAATCGACGGCATTCGTATACACCAATGATAAGCTCACAGAAAGAGAAACTAAAAAAACAATCCCATTTACCATCACAGCAAAAAAATTAAGATATCTAGGAATAAATTTAACCAAAGAAGTAAAGGACCTATTTGCAGAAAACTACAAGACATTGAAAAAAGAAATAGAGGAAGATATCAGAAAGTGGAAGCACATACCTTATTCATGGATTGGAAGAATTAACATCATTAAAGTGTCCATAATCCCCAAAGCAATCTATAGATACAATGCAATCCCCATCAAAATACCAATGACATACTTTACAGAACTAGAGCAAATACTTCAAAAGTTCATATGGAACCAACAATGACCCTGAATAGCCACAGCAATCTTGAAAAAAAAGGACAAAGTAGGTGGGATCACAATATCAAATATCAAGTTATACTACAAAGCTACTGTAGTCAAAACAGCCAGGTACTGGCACAAGAATAGGCACATAGATCAATGAAATAGAACAGAGAACCCAGAAATGGACCCAAGGCACTATGCTCAATTAGTATTCAACAAAGGTGGCAACAGCATACAATGGAGTAAAGACAGTCTCCTTAATAAATGGTGTTGGAAAAATTGAACAGCTACATGCAACAAAATGAAACTAGACCATCAACTTACACTATACACAAGAATAAACTCAAAACAGATAAAAGACTTAAATGTGACTCGTGAATCCATAAAAATCCTAGAAGAAAATGTAGACAACAAAATTTCAGACATCATATGCAGCAGAATTTTCACTGATACATCACCTAACGCAACAAAACAAAGTGGAAAATGAACACATGGGACTACATCAAACTCAAAAGCTTCTGTACAGCAAAAGAAACAACCACCTAAATGGAATGGGAACCCACTGTATGGAAGAGCATAATTGCCAATGATACATCAGAAGAGAGTTAATTTCTGAAATATATAGAGTACTCATACAACTCAACAAAAGGAAGACAAAGAACCCAATTAAAAAATGAGCAGAGGAGCTAAACAGACACCTCTCTAAACAGGACATACAAATGGCCAAGAGACATATGAAGAAATGCTCAACATCACTAATCATCACAGAGATGCAAATTAAAACAACAATGAGGTATCACCTCACACCTGTCAGAATGGCCACCATCAACAAATCATCAAACAAGTGTTGGTGAGGGTGCGGAGAAAAGGGGACTCTGGTACACTGCTGGTGGGAATGCGGACTGGTGCAGCCACTATGGAAGACAGTATGGGGTTTCCTCAAAAAATTAAAAATTGAACTTCCATTTGACCAAGTGATCCCACTTCTAGGAATATACCCTAAGAGACCTGAAACACCAATCAGAAAGAATATATGTACCCCCATGTTCGTAGCAGCACCATTTACAATAGCTAAGATCTGGAAACAGCCCAAATGTCCATCAGTAGATAAATGGATAAAAAGGCTATGGTACATATACACAATGGAGTACTATGAAGCTGTAAGAAAGAAAGATCTCTTATCCAACATAGAGGGACCTGGAAAGTATTATCCTACATGAAACAAGCCAAGCAGAGAAAGACAAGTATCATATGATCTCACTTATCTGTGGAATATAATGAACATTAACAGTCTGAAGAACAGGGAAGTCCCAGAGACGTGGAAGTAGGGTACAGACTGACAATCCCCAGAACAGGGGGTTAGGGGGGTGAGAGATAAACCACAGAACTTATATGCATGTATGCATGAACAATGGACATGGACAACAAAGCTGGGGACAGGGCAGGGAGGGAAGTGGAGGAGGGTGTCTGTCAACAGGGGGAAAAGGAGAAACATCTGTAGCAAATATAAAATAAAATAAAATAAAGAGTGAGACAATTCTCTGATTCAAACAAGACAGGTTCCTGGCACTGCCTAACATAAGGGTGCCACCAGCTCTCACAGAATCTGCCCCTCCCACAGTGTTTGCTGACAACTATAACTAGATACGCACAGCAGCCAGGCAGGTGGAAATTCTGCAAAACTCTCAGTCCAAGTATTTGTAAGGTCCTAAATTAACTGGCCAGACATAAATTAAAGTTACTTCTTCCTTTATATCAGGAGGAAGAAACAGAATGTGTGGTTTAGATATTCTCCTAATAACATAAAAGATATCAGCTCATCTCCTCAGTTCATATGTACTTAAAGTTGTAAAACAATTTTTTTAAATCTTCATCTAAAAAGTATTGTCCCACTGAGAGTTTAACTCAAACTAAAGAGGTTATTTAAAGAGTTCTCACAAATCAATTTATTTAAATATCCTAACAGTAACATGGGCAAGTGACCAAAGAAAATGGATATAAATAGGATAGCTCAGTTGGTTAGAGCATCATCCTGATATACCAAGGTTGGAGAATCGATCCCCAGTCAAGGCACATACAAGAATCAACCTATGAATGCATAAATAAGTGGAACAACAAATCAATGTTTCTCTCTCCCTTCTTCTCTCTCTCTAAAATCAATCAATAAAAAAATTTTAAATAAAAAGAAATAGTCAATAAACATGATAAAATGTTCAACCTCACCAATGATCAAGAAACCAAATCCAAACAATAGTGATGCTGTATTTTTCATGTAAAATCAGCAAATAATTTTTCAAAGGTTTCTACACAAAGTTGTGAACTGCAGGGAAACGATTATTCGCATCCACTTTTGGCAATGACTGGTACAACCCTCCACAAAATTATTTGCCAATACATATCAAGAATCTTAGAATTCTACATACTCTTCAGAGGCAGGATTCTACCTTAGAAATTCATTTCAGGAAATAATCGTGGATATGGGAAGATATAAAAATACTTACTACAGTGCTTTTGTAACAGTAAAAAAGTTGGAAATAATCTAGATCTGGGGTCAGCAAATATTTTCTGTGAAGGGCCAAATAATAAGTATTCCAGGCTTTCTGGGCCACACGCTCTAAATCACAGAACTAGTCAACTTGACACCAGCATAAAAGCAGCCACAGGAAACAAATGAGTGTGACCTTGTTTAGAAAAATTTACTTATGAACACTGCCATTCGAATTTCCTGTAAGTTTCACATATCAAAAATTCTTCTTCTTCTTTTGATTTAAAAATATAAAAGTTATTCTTGACTCCTAGGCCATACAAAAACAGGCAGTGAGCCAGATATGGTCAGTGGGCTATGGGTTGCCCATCCCTGATCTAAGTGGTAAAAAGTGGTTAAATACCTACTCTCAAAGTTTTTATGAGGATTATATGAGCCTCAGGAAGTAAAAGTTAGTACAGTGTCTAGCAGTCAGTTAAGTGTTCAGTAAATTTTAACCATCATCATCATCATCATCTTTACCACCTCTATGTGTCAATTCAGGCCAATGTTGTAGAAAATATAAAAACAGCCCTGGCCGGTTTGGCTCAGCGGTTAGAGCGCCAGCCTGCGGTCCGGAGAGACCCGAGTTCGGTTCCCGCTAAGGGCATGTACCTTGGTTGCAGTTTGTCCCCGGCTCTGGTCAGTCGTGCGGGTGGCAGCCACTCGATGTGTCCCTTCACATCGATGTTTCTCTCTCTCTCTCTCTGTTCCTCTCTCTCCCTCCCACTCTACCTGAACAAGAATGGAAAAATGTCCTCGAGTGAGGATAAAAAAAAAAAAAAAAAAAAAAAAGAAAATATAAAAACACAGGAAATACACACAAACATTTGCATATAATATTCTATTCATGATTAAACCTACATATATAAACATGTGTGTATATATTTATGAAAAGGAAAAAGACTGGAGGTATACATATCAGTTAACAGTAATAACATCTCAGTAACAATATTTTAGTCCATTTTTTAAAATTTTATTTCATTGAGATAAATGACTTATAACATTGTGTAAGTGTAAGGTGTACAACACGTTGATCTGATAATTCATATATTGTAATATGATTACTGCCCTGGTGTTAGCTATCACCTCTATCACATCAAGAATTATCTCTTCTATTTTGTGGTAGGAACAGTGAAGATCTAGTCTCTTAGCAACTTTGAAGTTTACAACACTATTTTTTTCTATAATCACTGAGCTGTGCACTGGATTTCCAGGACTCATTTACCTACTAGTTGCAAGTTTGTGCTCTAAAACTACAGTCCCCCACAGTAACCACCATTCTCTGTGTTCTACAAGTCTGCCTTTTTTAGATTCCAAATATAAGTGATATCATACAGTGTTTTTCATCTGTTCAGTCCATTTTTTTTCATTCCTTCTGTTTATCAGCAGTTTCCCTTTTAATTAAAATTACATATATAGGTATATGAGTGTGTGTGTGTGTGTGTGTGTGTATCCCACACGCACACATAACTGCATTCCTCTATATATTTTTTAAAAGAGATAAACTTGGTCCCACTTTCAGAGCCCATACATTGAGAAAGAAACCCAGCCATCACTCACCTTTCCCTTGTGCTGGACTTGGTGATGACGAAGGCTGGGCTCAGGGATGGCTACAGAGTCTCCGATGAGCACTCCCCAACTCTGCACCATGTTGTACACCATCACTGCATAGCACGGTCCATCTGAATCCACCAGGCCAAACGTACTGCCAGGTTAAAGTGCGTTAAGAAAGGAGGAAAAAAACACAAAGAAAAGTGGGCAAGAAAGAAAGAAACAGTGGTTTTAAAATACCAGTAAAATAAGCAAGTACTTTCTTAATAACTTATTTAGAAAACCTATGACAGGTACCATGATCCACTATGGACATCTGAGTCCTCATTTATCTTAGCTATATAATATCTTTAGAGACTAGGCATATGACTCATCCGTCACTTTGCTGAGAATCAGGACACAGGCACACTGAGACCATTCAACAATTATTAATAATGAACTAGCTCAAAATGTTGCAGCTGAAACATTATTCCTGAGCTATCAATTTAACTATCACAACCTTCATCAAATTCTCTAACCACACTGTCAATTTAATTCCACAAACTTTTACTGAACAGTATGTGTCAAGCACTGTGCTTAGTAGTAAGACACCAATCCAGACATGAATGAGCTAATAGTCTAGCAGGTGTCAGACAGTTAAACCATCACTTACAGCACAACTGTGATAGGTGCTGGAATAACTTTTTCCTTGTGCTGAATTCAGTAAAGTCAGAGGTTGGGCATAAAACCCAGAGTAGAAATGCCTAAATCAAAAAGCAGGAAAGGTTTTCTTGAAGAGACTGTATCTTAAAGGAATGAAAAATAGCTGGGAGAAAACAGGAAAACGAGTCCTCAGTGGAGGGGACAAGAACAGGGGAGGACTGGGAAGGAACATAAGAGAACTTCTTGGAAGTGAGTAAAGGACCAAGGAGTGGCAGCACTGATAAAACCCTAATTTTTCAATAGTTAAACATTTCCTAAATGAAATTCTTAACTAATTTCCTCTGTTATTCGACTATAAGCACCCTTCCTTGAGTCCTTCATATTTCTCTCTCTCTTTTTTTTAACTCCCTACAATACATATAGCAGATGTTCAATAAATATTTGTTAAAACAGGGAAAAAATAGGAGTACAGAATCTACAGAGATTGTGAGACATCACCTAGACAATACCTGCTCATGGGACAGTCACAAAAGAGAAGCAGAATTCACTAATCTGTGACCACTAATTGTCTCAACTGCCAGAGAAAGGCCAGTAAATGAGAGCATTCGTTCAAAGGATAGGCAAGAGAAGCTCACAAGGGGACTTTCTCCTCTGTGGTGAGGCTGAACACCACCTTTCCCAGGACCACAGCACCACTGTTCACACCAGGCTGTAGTACACTCAGCGGCTTGAGCTCCAGGGTCACCTTCTGCCCAGAGGCTGACTGATAGCGCCCATCACCACAAGGGCCTAGATGGGCTGGGCGCAAGCTTCCCAGCATGCTCTGCAACTTTTTGGCCTTCACCTTTCCCTGCAAAGGAAAGGGAAATAGATAAGAAGCTAAGAACTAGTCGCTTTTCTTGAGAGTCTAATCCTTCCCTCCCACCTACTCACTTCTATAAGATTCATCACTACCAAAGCCTATTCTGTTCTTATTTTATTGACATACAACAGAACAAAAAAGTAGGATTCAGCCTTTAGACACCTTTACCTTGCTCTCTAGGAGGCTGGTTAATCTATTCAGGAATTCCAGGAGTTGTTGCTCTCGTTGTCGGGGCTCTGGCCAGGCAGGGTCCAGTGCTGCAGCCCGAGAGAAGCCCTCCAAGGCCTCTCCATAATTCTCTTCATATTTATGTAACTGTATAAGTAACAAAAAACCTCCCACATGTAAGTATATTTAACACAAACTATGCCAGGGGACAGGGGGGTTAATGGTACAGTGGATTAGAAATCTAGAGAAATAAATTGTTTTCCTACCCGGTTGTTTTCCTGTCCTACAACAAACATCTTGAACAGGTGGTAACACCTTAACATTCTTTTTCCTGACCACGGTGATCACAACTCCAAAGATGGAGTCATTTCAAAAAACCTAACTTCCAAACTCTAAGATAGTTAGGTTGTATATATTGGGTCATACTATTTTTATATTTATAATGAGCATTTCAGAAAAGTCTTCTAAACAGTGCCCCCATCCCCTCTGTACCCTCCCACACCCTCAACCCCTTCTCCTTTCCCTCCAGTGGCTCCACCAGATACTGAGTTAAACTGAGCTAGCTCTTCCTATAATAATTTTACTTTTCTCTTGCAGTCTGTACCCAACCTTGTCCCTATAAATACTCAGTTACCCTCACAGGCTAAGACCTAAATGTACTTGACTTTCAGATGACCACACCCCACGGGTCTTACCGTTGCCCTGTTCAGATGGAGATCAGGATTGCTGGAAGCTGTCCTGTCAACCTTCTCCTAGTGGGATAGAAAGATCATCAGTGAATCCTGTCTCAGTCTTTTTTTTTTCTTCACCCTCACCCGAGGACACTTTTCCATTTTTTGTTCAGACAGAGTGGGAGGGAGAGAGAGAGAGAGAGAAACATCGACATGAAAGGGACACATCAAGTGGCTGCCACCGGCATGACCAACCAGGGCCGGGGACAAACTGCAACCAAGGTACGTGCCCTTAGCGGAAACCGAACCCAGGTCTCTCTGGACCACAGGTCGACGCTCTAACCGCTGAGCCAAACCGGCCAGGGCTCCTGTCTCAGTCTTAAGGATGGCCATGCCCAACGTGTCCTAAACCTCCTCTCCTAAAAAATTCAAGTTTCTTCCTTGTCAAAATGTTACCTATACCCACACTGATATAGTCATTGTTTGTGTGGTACATTACGTAGTCCCTGAAACTGCAAGGACACTAAGGGTTTTGCATATGCATGAAACATTAAAATGTGACTATAATTTATCCACACAATAGTATAAACAGAGAAAAAATATGTGAAATATGGTGATAAAAAAATTTAATAGTGAGATGATGGTATAAATGAGGGAAGCCTAGGAAAGAAATTATGTGAATTTAATGCTTTTCCTTTGCCCGTGAGCCCAGCTCCAGATGTACACAGAATCATGTTTATAAATCCAAGCCCCCTTAAAGTACAGTGAAAGACAAATTCTGATTCTCTGACTTGAACAGATGGCCAGTTTAAACCACACAACAGTGCAGTGCCCGGCTAGCTCAGTCGGTAGAGCATGAGACTCTTAAACCACACAACAGTGCAGACAAATGTGCTCTGAAGAAACTGCTGCTGATGTTTATGACTAAGTTCATTTTATTTTATTATTATTATTATTTTTATTTTTAATCCTTACCCAAGGATCTGTTTGTTGATTTTAGAGAGAGGAAGAGAGAGAGAGAAACGTGGATGTGAAAGAGAACATCCAGCTGTTGCCTCCCGTACACAGCTGCAACCTAGGCATGTGCCCTGACTGGGAATCAAACCCACAAATTTTTGGTGTACGAGACAATGCTCCAACCAACTGAGCCTCCTGGTCAGGGTTCATTTTATTTATTTATTTATTAAACTCTATTCATTGCCTGGCACATTGCAAAGCACAAACAATGTGAATTAAAATTGTTTAAATGCTTGATCCAAATAGGTTTTAAAATGCAAGTTTCGGTGGAGAAATGAAGAGTTAAAAGCAACTATTTAGCAGACGCCAAATATAAAGTTTTAAAGGAAGTACATACAGCATATTATTCTTTAAAATCTAAACATTAACCAAATTAAGAAACTAGAGTAAAATATAATTCCTCTGCCTAAAAGTTCCCTGACTGAAAAAAGGAAAGTCCCTAACCTGCAAATATAAATATACAGTAGTTTTACTCTTTATTCTGCTATACAAAAGCGAGTTAAAAAGCAATTCTGTGTCAAGAAAAGCAAGAAAGCAAATGAAGAAAGGTGAATATAAGGCCTAAATAACAGTGCTCAGAAGGCCAATGTGAACCTTTTAATAATGAGCAACTACCAGGCATTCAAGGCCTGAAGGAACCCCAGTGCAGGTGGCCACTGATACAAACATGGTGTGAAAGCCTAAGCAAAGCTTGAGCTCCAGGGAAATGATTCCCCGGAAGTGATGCAGAATGGGTTACATGCCGTTTTCTATTTTAGCCTGTGGGAAATACAGAGCCATAGAATGTAATGGTTAATCTGGGGATAACACTTAATTTATACTTAAGTATTAGTTTTCATTTTTCTTAAAATATGCACACTAATATCAATAGGCATTATTTTAATATATACTTTTTTCCTCATTTAAAAAGATGAATATGTTGGTATGGGCTCTGTGATTTGGATACATGCCTATAAACAATCTAGACAGTTCAAGAAAATGTCTAGCACAGAGACCACATACTGCAAGTGGTTGCTAATACTCAAGTGATAAGACGAAATGTCACCTCTGTAGACAGAGAGGTAAAACCACACACATTGGATGCCAGCAAACACTGCGCACCCTGCTAGCTAAAAAGCCACAAGGAAGACTGAACGACACTCGTTTCTATTGCTACCTCTATTCATCTGGCCAGGGTGACCATACTTACTGCTTGGGCATAGGCACCGAGGGCTTGCTGGGAGATCTTAGGGTTCTGGCCAGTATTGAAATAAAGAGAAAGGTATGCATTCCCCAGAATATCTGCAAAAGAAACACAGGGTTTACATTATGCACGTAAGGAACTTGGAAGTGGCCACTCAATCATAGTGAGTAAAAACTGAAAAGATGTAAAAAATCACAGCTCTTCCAGGATGCATTACAGAAGGGACAACATCGGGCAAAGCACTGCCCCCCAAAATGGAAAGACAGGTGACTACAGGGAGTTAGGGCTTATCAGAACAGAAACTCACGAGCTGGTGCAGGAAACAACGCTAGGGTAGGAAAACCTGAACTGTCACTGATGCAGTACTGGAAGCTCAGCGTGCACAAGTCTGGAAGTTAAAAACTGCAGGGGTCCCAGTCATAAGGGGGACCCCACAATATTGTGAGATCCTCCAGGAGCACAACCAAATTCCCACAGCAAATACCTGAGAAAAAAATCCCTCGTGCTTCTAGCAGAAGGAGTAAAAAAAGGAACATCCTGAAATATGCCAGAGCATTTCTGTTCTTAACAACAGTGAACAGGCCTGCCCTCAGGAGAAACTAGTCACCCAGAACAAAATCGACCTGAAGAAGGGAGATACCCAACTCCACCCCACTCTAGCCATCCTGTCCCACCTAAGGGACTGAAACTGAAGCAGCGGTGGAGCATCTCAGAGCCTGAGTTCAAGACATGACCTGTCTGGGTCACCCTGAGAAGTTATTAGAAGGCCTGACAGCCCGGCCAGCATGGCTCAGTTGGTTGAGCATCATCCTGTGCACCCCAGAGTTGCTGGTTCAATTCCCGGTCAGGGCATACACCTGGGTTTTGGGCTTGATCCCCAGTCGGGGAACGTACAAAAGGCAGGCAACCGATGGATGTTTCTCTCTCACATTGTTTCTCTCTCTCTCTCTCCATTCTCTCTCTAAGCATGTCCTCAGGTAAGGATTTAAAAAAAAGAAGAAGGCCTGACACAAACTAGTGATGACACTATATTTAGTATACCCCACATTCCACTGGGATAAAGAGGCAAACCTGGAACCAAAGGAGAAAGTTGAACAGACTCCACAAAAGCCCTGCCTTGCTAATGTGGAAACGTAAGCTCCTTCTCTTGAATGTAAAGATCCAAGAGTTCCTAGAATAGTAGTTCAACAAAATACCTTTCGGGCTCCTTCAAAACAAAAATGCCCTGGCTTCCCAGTTAGAGGCAGACATGACTCTGGTGTGCAGCCATGGTTGAGAACCACTGCTCTAGAAACTGGCTGGAGAAATCTGAGAGCACTCACACCAGGAGCGGCCATCATGGACATCCATCTGCACGGCCAATTTAGCCTGTCGGACACTGTCCATGACATGGCGAGAATGCTCATCTTCAGAGTCAGTCCGCAGCTGGCGAAGCACCATTGACAGGTTTTGAAGGGAGACTTTGTTCTTGCACTGCAAATGGAGAAGACATATGCTCAACCTTCCTGATTCTATTTCCCTTTCCAGATCTATTCTATCCCCATAACTTCTAAATCTGATTTGTCATCTTAGTAATTCTTACTGCCACGTGTATCTTAGACCCACATCTACAAGGATCAACTTGGTTGCTAACTTTTCATCTACCCCTGAACCTGACCCCATCATCTTCTTCATCTTTCAGTCCCCTATCCCTGTTTTCCTCGTCCAGGTCTGTTCCCCCTACTCTTCCTCCCTTCTGATGCTTTTCTCCTAGTTCCAATACAGTTCTACTCTGGTGTTCACATCCTAGGGAAATACACAGAATCAAAGAAACCCCATCCTTCCCGTCTGTGTATTCTGAGGGGATAGTGGTCAGCTCACATGGATGAGGGCTCCTGAGAAGCAGGTGTGGGCAGCTGCAACATCCCCTTTCTTCCAGTAAACCTCCCCCAACTGGTTCCAGGCTTCCACCAGGTTGGGCTCCAGCTTCACAGCCTTTGACAAAAGCTCCTCAGCCTTAGGGCTATAGTCAGGAGTCACATTCAGTGCTTTCCCAGTTAGCATCAGAACCTGTGCCTTGCCCTGGGCAGAGCCTAGGAGAAAGGGAAAAAGATACAGGAAAGTGGAAAAACCCAGGCAGTCTCACAGGTAAGACCAGAACACTTGCTCTCAAGGAATAACCCCATGTCAGGTCTACAAATAAAATATTTGAGGGAAATCTTTATGAACAAACTACTATTGAAAGCCTGTCATAGGCAGAGAACTATGTTATATAATGGGGTAATAAAGAAAGTATTATTCCTACCTTTGAGGAGCTTACAATCTAGTGGAGAGGATAGAGCATGTACACTACGTGGAAAATTAAAACAACAATGAAAAGAAGCATATGGCCAACGAATGGGCTTTAAAAAGTGAGAAGGGTGCCCGGCCGTTGTGGCTCAGTGGTTGAGCATCAACCCATGCACCAAGAGGTCGCCAGGGCACATGCCCAGGTTGTGGGCCTGATTCCCAGTGCGGGGCATGCAGGAGGTGGCCAATCAATGTTCTCTCTCATTGATGTTTCTATCTCTCTCTCCTTCTCCCTTCCTCTCTCTGTAAAATCAATAAAGAAAAAATATTTTAAAAAATAATAATAAAAAGTGAGAAGGAAAAAAAGACAAGACTCTCCAGGTAGGAAAATGATGTAAACAAAAAAAGAGGCAGGAAGCAAGTGGCATGTTTCTGGGAGAATGCATGATCAAACCAGAATGAAATAAAAACTTCCTCTGGCCCTGGCCGGTTTGGCTCAGTGGTTAGAGCGTTGGCCTGCGGACCAGAAAGTCCCAGGTTTGGTTCCTGTTAAGGGCACGTACCTCGGTTGCCGTCTGTCCCCAGCCCTGGTTGGGGTCAAGTGGGTGGCAACCACTCGATGTCTCTCTCTCACATGGATGTTTCTCTCTCTCTTCCTCCCTCTCTCCCTCCGCTATCTCTGAAGATACATGCAAAAATGTCCTGGGGTGAGGATAAGAAAAAAGACTTCCTCTGTAGGTATGCAGTCAAAGATAAGGGTAGAAAAACAAGAGTCAGAAAATGGACACTTACATACCAGGTTAAAGGATTTAAACTTCAACTACTAGATAATAGCAATCTTTGAAGACACTTGAGCAAAAGGCAGACAAAAGGATAAGATTAAGTGCTTAAAGTAATGATTTAGAATGATAATGACCATACTCATTAACTAAGTTGATTAAGAAGTAACAGAAATGAGAGACAGAAAGGTCAGTTAAAAAGATCACTGTAACAGTTCAAGCCACAAGTATGTTCTTTTATTTCATGGCATTTGCTATAATCAAACTTTAGGAAAATTAATTTAGAGGACTGAAGCTTGCCATCCTGCAAAGGGGCCCCTGGAAGAACTGTTCTGTTGTATCATACTGCAGCAGCCACAGATAGGACACCAAACAGTATACACAGAGAGGGAGACAACTGCATTTCAGTGATGGCCATAGGCTCGCATGCTCTTTTGGAACTCATACCCACAACTTCCTTCATCTGCTGCAGGGTCTTCTCCATCTCCTCCCGCACATCCTGCTGCTTCCTCCCAGCATCCTCAACACTATGTGTCTCGAAATAGCACTCTCGAAATGAATAGAGTTGATCCACCAGTTCCTAGGAAGCATAAGGATGGTACTGTTAAGTGGAGAGAACACCAGACAAGAAAATTTAAGACTGGCTAGCCATACCAACTCTTTGCCTAGAAATACTGATTCTCTGTCTCACCTAGGAATAACACAAGAGGCAAATAGATAGGTCTATCAAAATGCCACAGATCAGCCCTGGCCGGTTTGGCTCAGCAGTTAGAGCATCGGCCTGCGGTCCCAAGAGACCCAGGTTCGGTTACTGCTAAGGGCACGTACCTCAGTTGCAGTTTGTCCCCGGCCCTGGTTGGTCGTGCGGGTGGCAGCCACTCGATGTGTCCCTTTCACATCGATGTTTCTCTCTCTTTCTCTCTTTCTCCCTCCCACTCTACCTGAACAAATAATGGGAAAATGTCCCTGGGTGAGAATTAAAAAAAAAAAAAAATGCCACAGATCATAAAGGAAAACAGCCAGTGTCCCAGGCTCCCTCTCACAATGTCCCAGGCCAGTCTCTGTACCATGACTAAGCACTTCACACACCACAGTCAAACACTTTGCAACTTGAGAGAAAACAAAAGTTAATGTACAAACAAAAGGAATGTACCCTTAAAACTGGATTTCTCATAATAACATTCTCATCCCTCTTATTTCCAATGCTGGTATCTGACCTCTGTGAACTTGGTAAACATGTGAGTGAGAGTGGTTGTTTTCCAGTGACAAACAGACCAATTTAAGCTTGATAACCTTGGTATTTTTGCAGGGTTTTGTTTTGTGAAATACTTCTGGTTTTCATTGTTTTGTTTTGGTCAAGTCACCTTCTGGCTCTCTTGCATTCTTTCCAAGAAAATGTTCTCTATTAAATACTTCTATCTCTGAGTCTTTCTGCTATACCAGTCAAAGGTTTTCCATTATCCATTATTTCCTAAAACTGAATAGCAACAGAAATATATAATACTGTTCCACCAAGTCTTAACTACCTCCACAGCACATCCTAAATCCATCTACCTGTTTCCATTCTACTATGACCATCCTGGACTAAATCAGCATCATTATTTGCCTGAACCACGGCAACAACTTCTTACCTGGTCACTTGCCTCTCCTCTCTCCTAATATCCTCACTGCAGTGAGAATAGGCTTACAAAAATGTTTATCATATCACAAACCTTCAGATAGTTTCCCACTGTAGACAGAACAAAATCTAAGTCTCCTCCAATTACTAGATTGTATGAGCTGAGCTCCCACTACTCACCTTGCTATAAACTTCACTTCTTACCACTCTCCCTTCTACAAAACTCAAGCCATACTGACTTTTATTCAGTTTCTCCAATCCATCAAGCTCAATCCCACTTTGGGGTCTTTACACATGCTCTTCCCTCTGCCTGGCCACTCTTTCCTCAGATCTTTGCAGGGCTCATTTGTCATCACCATTTAGAACTCAGTTCATACATCAACTACTCAAAGAGGCTTTCCCTGACTACCCAAACTAGCTGACCCCTTCCTCCTCTGTCCACTGTCAAATCATGCTCTTATTTTTCTTCATAGTACTTAGCATTTGAAATTATGTGGCCTATTCATTAACTGTCTATTATCTGTCACCACCACTGGAAATGTAAACTCTATAATGGGAGAGATACATCTGTTTAGTTTAGAGCTATACCTGAGCACTACAACAAGGCTTAGGACACGACAGGCTTTCATTAAATATACTAATTGAATGAATTAATGAATGATCCCCGTCTCTATAATTAATTTAAATTCCTACCCAGAACGAAGAGAATGGCCTAGCACCCTCTGCAGCAATGCTTTTCAAATTTTATTGTGCATATTATTTCCAGGACCCAACCTGCAGAGATTCTGATTTTAGTAACTGTAGCAAACTCAAAATTCTGCATTTTAACAAGCACTCTATAGATTACTGTAATAAAAAATGGTCTGTAAAACACAAACACACTTGCAGAAATATGCTTTTATCCATTCCTTGTACCCTAAGATGTCTATAAGAAGGACATCAAAGCTTGCCACCATCCCCATGGATAGCAACATCACTATCCTTTTCCTCTCCTCTATTTCATTCCCCCATTCATTCCTGCACCTTCCCCAATCACTCCAAGCATCCTCTATCTATCAGAGGTGGGGAACTTTTTTCTGCCAAGGGCCATTTGGATATATAACACATCATTCGTGGGCCATACAAAATTATCAATTTAAATACTAGCCTGCTATATTTGGTCAGGCTAATTTGGTGAGGCATATAATGTTACCTGGTATTGATTTCTCTGGCCTAATACAGTCTGCGGGCCGGATGTTCCCTACCCCTGATAGATGTTTAGTACATGTACCACAGTGAGCCCAGGAAAAGACCATTCTCAGCAAAAATTACAATTCATTTCCTTTTCCCATACAATCAGCATGGCTGCAAATTAGGAGTTTCAGAGAGGGTTTTACTATTTGTTTGCTTTTAGTTGTTAAAGCAAACATGCAAGACATTGTTTGGTGTTGTTAGTTTGCTGGAGTATTTTTAATAACTTTTTTCTCATGGCAAAATAGATAGGTAAATAGATAGATAGATAGATAGATAGATAGATGTTGTTAAACTCAAATAGGTACGTGTCACAAATACAAAGTAAAAAATTCCTCATCACCTCAACAACCTCAGGGATAACCACTATTTAGTATACATATACATACATACACACACACACATATACACACACATGACATATATTAAAAATACATATGTATATAAGATACATATATATTTATATACACATATGTGTGTACATATAACTATATATACACAAACATATATACAACACACTAACAATATTTCTACAGTTCAGCCAGTCACACTAGGAAATAAAATGAAGTTAATCTAAGTCTACTGGAAGTGACAACTCACTCTAAAGTGTTATTTTAATCTGCTCAAAAAACAACAAAATCTCAGCAATACTTAAACTTTTACATTAGAAGCCTTTAAGCAAGTTACAAGCTTGTCACAAGTCTAATGTTTAAATCCCAGGCTTAGAACACAAAGAACTGCTTTTCTGGGATTTAATAAAAAATCTTGGGTCATTGAAAGAAACATAAAGAGCCAAGCCAAGGAGTTAGCTCCTACCTACCAAGTACAAAAGACTAGTCCTAGTCAAAACTGCAATCAACTGTGAACTGAGTGGAACCTGGTCCCTTCTGCCATCAGATCCCAAACTGGGATCTTGCACTGTGCAAAAATACGGCAAACTGGTAAGTCCTAAGGGGAGTAACCAGCATACATGCCGTGCAAGCCATTGGTGTGATTACTGCCAATTTCATAGCAGAGAGGTGTGAAAGAAACGGCCTTTGTGGGGAATCAAAACAACTCCTGGAGATCCGCCGTAAACATGTGTATGCTATTTGTTATGGGTGCATCGAGGGAAAAATACTTCATAAGAATGTGCAGGAATAAAGTTAAGAGCAATACATCTTCTTCCATACAGGAATGAAATTAAGTCCGGGTAGCAGCAGGGGGCCCCCAGCCGGGGGCTGCGCCCCTCTCCGGCCCCGGAGGCTCCCCGGCCGGCGGCGGCTGCACCGTCGGAAGTTGTTACAGTAACCACAGCGACACACCAGCGTCCCGTCGGTGCCAAGGAATTCGCAGGCACTGCACACACTGGGCTCCTTGCTTCTTCCCGATAACGACAGCACATACAGGTTTTAACCTATAGCCCCACCTGCAATTTCTGCAAGATCTGTTTCACGTCTTCCTCCTCATCAGCCATCATTTCCCGGCCACTCTCGGCTACTCCGCCCCCAACTCTATAACCAGAGGGACTCAAACCGGCTCTCATCATGGAGCCACAGCGACATCTAGGGCGCTGGAGGTTACCTTGCACCTAAGTAGAGGAGCTGGTTTTCAAGGAAGGATTTCGCTCCAAACCAACTTAACCCAATGCCCAAAGATCAAAGGAGATGGATGCTCTATAATCACTTTTCTTTATTTCCCAAATCCTAGAAACAAAGTGTTCTCAGCTCAATTGCATGTATATTTTTGTCTCATATTTTTCTACTTATTTATACCAAGATTATAATACCCAAAAAAGAAGACAGGTTTGAAGGAAATGTAGTACAATGGTAAGGGAATTTGTCTGAATAATTTCCAAACTTTACAGTGATTTTCTATGTATAAGGCATATGTGAACACACTATCCTAATAAACCTACAGCATTTAGGATGGTATTATGAAAGCCATCAATAGTACACTAATACACTAATAGTATATTAGTACAGTAATAATGCTATTGACAGAATGTGTGTGTGTGTGTGTGTGTGTGTGTGTGTGTGTAACACAGATACATCCTGGAGAAGAAAACGGGAACTGAGAGTTGTTGGTAGGCAAAGAAAATTTTTACTGTGTATACTTTTGAATTTATTATCATGTACATGTTATTAGCTGCTGAAAAAATAAGCATAATTTTTATATAAAAAAATTACTTCTACATAGACTATCTCTGAAAGAGCCACAAAACACTAGCAACAGTAACTGCTTCCAGAAAGGGGAAGTGAGTGACTGGGAGACAGGTGCCTTTTCTGTACCTTTTTAATTTGTACCATGTAACTATATTAAACTCTTCAATAAGTAACTTTTTAAAAAGTAGCATATAATAGTCCTAACAAACTTTCTCTTTACTTTTTAGTTTTAATTATATCTTACTTGTACTCCAGACTGATTCTGTGGATTAAAGGAAGAAACAAAAGTTCAAGGCAGAAATAAAAAATATACATAAGCCCTGGCCAGTTTGGCTCAGCGGTTAGAGCGTCGGCCTGTGGTCCAGAGAGACCCGGGTTCAGTTCCCGCTAAGGGCACGTACCTCAGCTGCAGTTTGTCCCCGGCCCTGGTTGGTCGTGCGGGTGGCAGCCACTCGATGTGTCCCTTCACGTCGATGTTTCTCTCTCTCTCTCCTCCTCTCTCTCCCTCCCACTCTATCTGAGCAAAAAACGAAAAAGTGTCCTCGGGTGAGGATAAAAAAAAAAAAAAAAAGATAAAATAAAATAAAATAAAATAAAATAAAATAAAAAAATACATAAAATTATTTCTTCAAAGCATTTTCCAACATTTAAAACTGTGTAGGGAAGAAAAATACTTTGTATGGTAATCTATAAAATCTGTGTAATTACTATGAAATAGGGATGGATGTTTTAAAGCTTTTTTTATTGATTGATTTGAGAGAAAGAGAGATTTGTTGTTCCACTTATTTATGAATTCATTCGTTGATTCTTGTATGTGTTCTGGCCAGGGATCGAACCCACAACCTTGGCATAGTGGGATGATGTTCTAACCAACTGAGCTACCCAGCCAGGGCTTAAAACTTTTAAGTCAGAATTTTTAATCCTCTTTCTCAGACATGTCATCTAATGATCTTTGGCACATATTCAACATCAAGAAAAATTCCTAATTTGGAGTGCAGTAAAGAAGGAAACTTTATTCAGATCACAGCACCTCCTGAAAACAGCACAGCTGTGAGGTAGCCCTGGGGCCAGCTCCCTCTCTAGCTACACAGCTCTGCTCTGCTCCTAATCACCTCTGCTCCTAATCATTGGTCTGCTCTGGCCTGTGCTGGTCGACTGCACTCTGCTCTGTAAAGACATCTTATGCTTCAGCTCCAGCCAGGGAGAACAACTGGAGCTAAAGTCTTCACTCTTAGGTGGAAAGGGAAAGTGCACTTGAGAGCTAGATGGGAGCTGATTTATATAGACAGAAGCCTCTCCCTGGTCCCTGATTGGTCTGTCCTCATGCAAATGAGGACTCCAAATACTCACAGTTTGATTGGTCCAAAAGTCACTGTCCTGATTGGTCAAAATGGAGCCACTCTGATTGGTCAGTGAAGAAGCTGATGGCAAAATAGTTGCACAACTCCAATAGGATGGGGAAAGCTTCAGTCCTATCAGTTGAAATAGAATTCTAGGAATTCCTTTACAAAGGCTGGCTCAGATGGCAGAAACACTACAGTACAAGCAAGCAGTTTAGTGCAGAGGTTAAGTATTTCAGTGCAGGCTTCTCCCTTAAATGCAGTTTGCATGAGATGCCCCTAAATGGCTGCTAGGTTCTGTATTTTAAAAATTTGAACCCAGTTAGCCACTAGGAGCCCTTCTTAGTAGGTATTTTCTTTTTCAAGGTCCACACAGTTCAGGGTAGGGGGTTGGAGGAACATTGTGATCACTTTTCACAGTGACAGACAGTTACTAGACTTAGTGTGGTGAGCACATCCTAAGATATATAAATGTCAAATCATTGTTTGTACATCTGAAACTAATATACTATTGTATGCCAACTAACTTTAATAAAATGTTTTTGAGATTTTATAGTCTATACTCCGAAAGAAAATATTGTTTGCTTGCTATTTAATTATGTAAAGCAAGGGTATTCATTCACCTTTCTACAATGACTAAATATTTTTAAAATCCTCATTATTTCAGTACGATTTTATTACCTAAAAAACAATGGGATTTGACATTTAGGATAATTCCATTATAATTTCTCCCAACCCAATAAAAATAAATAATAAAATTTAAGAGTTACAAAAGGCTTACTGAATAAATTGAATCCCCCATTTTACAAATATAGAAACAATAGCCCAGAAAGTTTAAACTCAAACTTGCAAAACCAAAAAAGCCATAATTAGAACCCAGATGTTCTATCTCCCCAACCAATATGATTTCAAGTCTTGCCTCTAATAGGATATAAAGTTATTGAAAATATCCTTCAAATTTCTTTTATGGCTCTATACTTTTAAAAAGTTATCATCTGTCCCTGGCCGGTTTGGCTCAGCGGTTAGAGCGTTGGCCTGCAGTCAGTCCTGAGAGACCTGGCTTCGGTTCCCACTAAGGGCATATACCTTGGTTGCAGTTTGTCCCCAGCCCTGGTTGGGTTGTGCGGGTGGCAGCCACTCGATGTGTCCCTTTCACGTCGATGTTTCTCTCTCTCTCTCTCTCCCCCTTCCACTCTGAGCATCAAAATGAAAAAAAGTCCTCAGGTGAGAATGAAAAAAATAAAATAAAAAGTTATCTGTCCTACATGCTCACTATTTAATAAAGGAAAACAGTGAATAATCTTTAAAAGCATTAGCTCTGGCTGGTGTGGCTCTGTTGATTGGAGCCTCACTCCATGCACCAAAAGATGATGAGTTCAATTCCAAGTAAGGGCACATACCCAGGTTGTGGGTTTGATCCCCAATCAGGACACATGCTAGAGGCAACCAATAGATGTTTCTCTCTCATATCGATTTCTCGCTGTCTTTCACACACACACACACTCTGCCTCCCTTCCTCTCTCTAAAATCAATCTTTTTAATTTAAGTATTTTAATTAATATAACCTCTTGAGATCACTAAAATATTGTAAGTTTCTACAATAGAGGTACATTCCTAAATAGTAAACCCAAGACAACAACTTGCAAAACAGTAAAGAAAGAGTAATTTTATTTTTAAATAAATGGTACAAAATCAACTTTACAAAATAACTTTATCAATGTAAATTATTTTTAAATAGAAATAAGTACTGATCATGTGTACATCAAATTGTACTCTCATTCACTGACATGAGCACATATACTCTAAACAAGTTAATACAAAGGCAAATATATAAATATATAGAAATAATGTACATACCCAAATAACAAACTACAGGCATACCTTACCATTTTCTGAGACCAAAATCTTCTTAAAAATATACTGGTAAATACAGCAAAATATCAACAAACATACATATATATGCATAAATACCAAAACCCAAAGTGACATGTAGACATACAACACAGGTGCTTTTATACATATGCATAAACATACAGCTCAGTCAAAAACAGCCCAGACAGAAACAAACTGTGATCTACAAACACAATAATATTGTAACCTTCCCACTACAGGTAAGAATTTAACAGTTCTTTTTTTGCAATAAAATTGAGTTTAATAAAATGCTCATTCTTTAAATAATGAAAACATAAGAAGAAACCAGACTCTACAGTCACTCCTCACTGCCACTGAGTTTGCTATAAATTGAAAATGTGAAGACAACTTCAAAGACTTAATAGCACAGGGAGGTTGGTGACTACTATCTAGAATAAACATTATTTGCTAAATGAAATCACTGAAAGTAAACAGAAACATTCTGTGAAGTGCATTAAATTCTTTTTACTTTAAAGGCCCTTCTAGAGACTTGCTGCTGCTGCTGCTCTAATTCACAAGTTGGGGATGCAAAACTAAAAAAGTTGTTGCTGGGTTCAGGTACTGTTGGAGAACCCACAAAAAATGGTCTGAACTGAAAATCTCCGTCTCCACCGCCTCGATTTTGAACTGGTGTACTGTCCAAAGGAAACTTGGATTTGTTCCCTAGGGGGGAAAAAAGGGAAAAACTTAAGCATCTGTATACTTACAGATCTTTAGGACCAAAAAGACAAAATTCATGCAATAAATATTTCAACAAAACTCAACTCATAGAAAACAAATAAAATATAAACCTAATGTTGGATGAAGAAAAGGACCATGATCGCCCCTAACCCCTCCCTCTGACCACAGCATATACTGTACCTTCTTCTGTGATTCAGTTTCCAATTACAGCCATGACCTCATCACCAAAAGTAATGTGACACAATGAAACACATTTCAGCCCTGGCCAGTGTGGCTCAGTTGGTTGGAGCATTGTCCTGTGCACCAAAAGATCATGGGTTCCCAGTCAAGACATATACCTAGGTTGTGGGTTCAATCCCCAGTTCAGTTGCATACAAGAGGCAACTAATCGATATATCTCTCTCACATCCATATCTCTTTCCCTCTAT